AGGTCGTGCGCTTAAGTGCCATCTATTTTCGGGGCTAGTTGATTTGGTAGGTGAGTTGTTACACACTCCTTAGCGAATTTCGACTTCTTTGACCACCGTCCTGCTGTCTTAATCGACCAACACCCTTTGTTGGTTCTGGGTTAACGCGTAGTTGGGTACCATAACTTGGCTTCCGGTTCATCCCGTATCACAAGTTTTGCTTACCAAAAATTACCCACTTGGAGCTCTCGATTCTGTGGCACGGCTCAACGAAGCAGTCGCGCCGTCCTACCTATTTAAAGTTTGAGAATAGGTCGAGGGCATTACGCCCCTGATGCCTCTAATCATTGGCTTTACCCGATAGAACTCGACGGGGGCTCCAACTATCTTGAGGGAAACTTCGGAGGGAACCAGCTACTAGATGGTTCGATTAGTCTTTCGCCCCTGTAACCACGTCAAACGAATGATTTGCACATCAATATCGTTGTGGGCCTCCACCAGAGTTTCCTCTGGCTTCGCCCCGCTCAAGCATAGTTCACCATCTTTTGGGTCCCGACGGGCATGCTCGCACTCGAACCCTTCTCAGAAGATCAAGTTCGATCGACGGTGCACTAGCGAGGGATCCCGCCAATCAATTTTCTTGTGCCTTACGGGTTTCTTGGCCCGTTGACTCGCATGCATGTCAGACTTCTTAGTCCGTGTTTCAAGATGGGTCGAATAGGGAGCCCGCAGGCCGATGCCTGGAGCACACTGGTGCCAGGGCACGTCCAGATGGTGCGTGCTGTGTTCCATGATCGTGACGACGACATCTCTGCAGGCACATCGAAAGCCTGGGCTTGGGTCACCACCGTAACTCGCATCGGTCCATGCCTCGAGCCGATCGGTGGATCGACTCTCATCGTTCCACATCTGACCAGGGCGCATCGCCAGCCCCCATTCGCTCCCCTCTCGACAATTTCAAGCACTCTTTGACTCTTTTTTCAAAGTTCTTTTCATCTTTCCCTAGCGGTACTTATTCACTATCGGTCTCTCACCCGTATTCAACCTTGGACGAAATTTACGACCCAAATGGGGCTGCATTCCCAAACAACCCGACTCACGGACAGCGCCTCGTGGTGTGATAGGGTCCGGGCACAACGGGGCTCTCACTCTCTCTGACGCCACTTTCTAGGGGACTTGGGCCCAATCTGCCACTGAGGATGCTTCTCCAGACTACAATTCGGACGTCGAGGGTGCCCGATTCTCAAGCTGGGCTCTTTCCGGTTCGCTCGCCGTTACTAGGGGAATCCTGGTAAGTTTCTTTTCCTCCACTTATTGATATGCTTAAACTCAATGGGTGATCCCGCCTGACCTGGGGTCACGACGCAAGCATCGATCGAGCGATACGGAGGGTCCGAAGGGGTCTGGCTGGACAACGAGGGCGCGTCACTAGGGACGAGGCACATCGAGAGCTCTACCACTGACGATCACGGCACTGTCATTGCTAGGGACTCACTTTTGGGCCAACCAGAGCCCGAAAGGCAGGGGGTCGGAGGGGGGGGCGACGGTGCATGACACCCAGGCAGGCATGCCCTTGGCCTAATGGCTTGGGGTGTAACTTGCGTTCAAAGACTCGATGGTTCACGGGATTTTGCAATTCACACCAAGTATCACATTTTGCTACGTTCTTCATCGATGCGAGAGCTGAGATATCTATTATCGAGAGTCATTTTATTTTTTCGTGACAAACCAAGGGCTCAAGCTCAGCTCCCCTTTTTCGCATGCACGCCAACCAGTCGAGGCCATGGGCGCCTACCGATCACTGGAGCAACCAGTCTCCGGATAAAATGGTCGGAAGGCATGCACGCCCTGTATTTCGCTCGAGGGATGTTACCCTAGGTGTACGTAATGGGAGGCCCATCACGCACACTAACTCCTCCCGTGGGGGGGAGAGGGGTGCCGGACCACCACCCCCTAAAGAGCATTAGAGATTTTACAGATATGCTACCAGTAGATGTTAAAGTGTCTAAAACAGGGACACTTTTTCCAAACAGGCATATCCCGCACCAAAGGTGAGTAGGTGCCGATAGTGGTTGGGGCATGTGCCCGCACCAAGGGCCAGCATGTATCGATGGTGGTCGAGGCAACCGCCCGCACCAGATAGAGGCATGTGCCCACACCAAGGCCTGATATGTGCCGATGGTGTTCGACGTAACTGCCTGTACCATAGGCCATCTTCTACCGATGGTGGTCGAGGTAAGAGCCCGTACTAAGGGCCGGCTTGTGCCGATGGTGCTCGAGGCAACCGCCCGCACCAAGGGCCATCTTCTATTGATGGTGGTTGAGGCAACCGCCCGTACCATGGCCCAGCACGTGCCGATGGTGTTTGAGACAACCACCCCACCAGGGGCCATCTTTTGCCGATGGTGGTCGAGGCAAGAGCCTGCACCAGGGGCTGACTTGTGCCGATGGTGCTCGAGGCAACAGCCCGCACAAAGGCCTAGCACGTGCCGATGGTGTTCGAGGCAACCGCCTGCACCAAGGCCCAGCATGTGCTAATGGTGGTCGAGGCAACCACCCTCACCAAGGCCCAGCATGTGCCGATGGTGTTCAATGCAACCGTTCGCACTAGGGGCCATCTTGTGCAGATGGTGGTCGAGGTAACTGCCTGCACCAAGGGTCAGCTTGTGCCGATGGTGGTCGAGGCAATCGGTCGCACCAGGGACCATTTTCTGCCGATGGTGGTGGAGGCAAGAGCCCGCACTAAGGGTCAGCTTGTGCCGATGGTGCTCGAGGCAACTGCCCGCACCAAGGCCGAGCACGTGCCAATGGTGTTCGAGGTAACCACCCCCACTAAGGCCCAGCATGTGCCGATGGTGGTCGAGGTAACTACCCACACCAAGGCCCAGCATGTGTCGATGGTGTTCGACACAATCGCCCGCACCATGGGTTGGCTTGTGCCGATGGTGGTCGAGGCAACCGCCCGCACTAAGGGCCATTTTCTACGATGATGGTCGAGGCAAGAGCCTGCACTAAGGGTCGGCTTGTGCCGATGGTGCTCGAGGCAACCGCCCGCACTAGGGGCCATCTTCTACCGATGGTGGTCGAGGTAACCGCCCATACCACGGCCCAGCATGTACCGATGGTAATCGAGGTAAGAGCCCGCACCAAGGGCCGGCTTGTGTCGATGGTGCTCGAGGAAACCGCCCACACTAGGGGCCATCTTTTGTCGATGGTGGTTGAGGCAAGTGCCTGTACCAAAGGGCAGCCTGTGCTGATGATGGTCGATGCATGTGCCATCACCATGTGCCATCATGTGCCATTGATGGTCGAGGCCTTTGTCGAAGTTCAATTTTGAGCCACGGTGCACATGTTGGGCTTGGGCATGTGCTGGTGTCACATTTTTTTCACCTGGGGCACCATCATCGGAGCATCGTCGAAGAACCTAACCGACGACATTGGGGGTTCCGGTGATTGGGAGGGCCGGGGGGTGTGCGCACATGATGTGCGATGGGTGCTGGTACTTGGCCCTTATATTGGCCCCCTATCCCTCATCAAAACTCGAGAACTCACACCCCCTTAAAGAGTATTTGAGATTTTATAGGTTGCTGCCAGTAGCCATTAAAGTGTCTGAAATAGGGATACTTTTTTCAAACGGTCACAAAATCTTCTCCACTTCGAGTTTTTAGCTGAAGTTTTTTGTGCATGCCAACAAAAATACAAGGATCACGTCTTCCAAATTTTGGGTGAAAACTCCTTCTAAAAAAATTTTAAAAAATCTCGAACCGCAAAAAGTTTTGAAAATCATGAAAAATAGAAAACGGGTCGTCTTGCCATGAAACTTCACATGAAGGCTTAGGGGACCATTGTATGAATTTACAAGCTATAAAAAGGGCATTGGTACAATAGAAATATGAAGATGTGCATGAACCTACCTACCACCGATCGACCATACTTGCGATCCCCACCCTCCGGACCGACTAAGTGCCCACATGCTCGTTTCATGGGTTGACTTAGGCATATATAGTGCGCACCCAATCTAAGATCGGGTAGGACTGAGGGTTATGTAGCAGGACCCACAACGAGATTGGTAAGCACACAGAGGCGAGATTGCGGTCCCGATCCCAGCTGCGGCATCCGCCCCTCTGTCGGCTGAGCGCCCGTACGCTCGTTTCGTGGGTTGACTTAGGCATACGGAGTTCATACCCAGTCTAAGCATATGGAGTTCATTCCCAGTCTAAGATTGGATCGGACCGAGGGTTGCGACAGTAGGACCAACAGTAAGATCGACAGCACCCAGAGGGGGATCAGGTCGATCCCCGGCTTGCACATTCTACCTCTCTGGCTGGCTAAGTGCCTGCACGCTTGTTTCATGGGTTGGCTTAGGCATACGGAGTTCATTCCATGTCTAAGCCCCAGCAGGATCGAGGGTTATGGCAGCGGGACCGACAACACGTAGAGGGGGATCGGGCCGATCCCCGGCTTACGCATTATGCTTCTCCGATCGGCTTAGTGCCCGCACGCTCATTTCATGGGTTGACTTAGGCATATAGAGTTCATTACCAGTCTAAGCATACGGAGTTCATTCCTAGTCTAAGATTGAACCAACAATGGGATCGACAGCAGCACGCAGAGGGGGACCAGGCCTATCCTCGACTTATGCATCCTGCCTCTCCGTCGGCTGAGCGCCCGCACGCTCGTTTCGTGGGTTGACTTAGGCATACGGAGTTCATTTCGGTCTAAGCCCCAACCAGACCGAGGGACCCGTAGCCCCGACTTACGCATTATGCCTCTCTGGTCTAAGCATACGGAGTTTATTCCCAGTCTAAGATCGGATCGGCAGCAGAATCGACAGCAGCATGCAGAGGGGAATCGGGCCAATCGTTGGCTTGTGCATCCTGCCTCTCCGGCCTGTTGAGCGCTTGTACGCTCATTTTGTGGGTTGACTTAGGCATACGGAGTTCATTCCCAGTCTAAGCCCCAATCGGACTGAGGGACCCGCAGCGGGATCCGTAGCACGCAGAGGGGGATAGGGCTGATCCTTAACTTGTGCATTCTGGCTCTCCGACCGGCTGAGTGCCCGCACACTCATTTCATGGGTTGACTTAGGCATACGTAGTGCATTCTCGATCTCGATCAACAAAGGGCCAGAGGCTATCGACAGCGTTTGGGGCAACAACCAAGGGGGACCAGCAGCAGGATCCTTGGTCGGCTCGTTCATCTAGCCGCCAGTGGTCGATTCGGTGCCCGCACGCTCGTTTCGGGGGCTGACCGGGGCGAGCGGAGTTCATTCCTGATCGAGACCGAGGGACAGAGGGCCCCGGGTCACGATCAACCCCGAAGGGGCAGAGTGAAAAGAAGGAAGGTCGGCGGGGGGAGGGACGAATCGAAGTGACAAAGGGTTGAATCTCATTGGATCATGGCAACAAGGCCACTCTGTAACTTACAATACCCCGTCACATATTTAAGTCATCTGCAAAGGATTTTACCCATCGCTCGGTGGGAATTGAGCTCCAAGGAGGCCCGTGCAGCTTGTCTGCCGTGGGGGCTACACATATGACACGTGCCCTTGTAGGTCGTGGGCCCTTACTGTGGGTCGGCAATCGGGCAACGGGTGCGCACGTCACTTCTAGCCCAGATTCTGACTTAGAGGCATTCAGTCATAATCCAGCGCATGGTAGCTTCGCGCCACTAGCTTTTAAACCAAGCGCGATGACCAATTGCGCGAATCAACGGTTCCTCTCGTACTAGGTTGAATTACTATCGTGACACCGCCATCAGTAGGGTAAAACTAACCTATCTCACGACGGTCTAAACCCAGCTCACGTTCTCTATTGGTCGGTGAACAATCCAACACTTGGTGAATTCTGCTTCACAATGATAGGAAGAGCTGACATCGAAGGATAAAAAAGCAACGTCGCTATGAACGCTTGGCTGCCACAAGCCAGTTATCCCTGTGGTAACTTTTTTGACACCTCTAGCTTCAAATCCCGAAGGTCTAAAGGATCGATAGGCCATGCTTTCATAGTTCATATTCGTACTGAAAATCAGAATCAAAGGAGCTTTTACCCTTTTATTCAACACGAGATTTCTGTTCTCATTGAGCTCATCTTAGGACACCTGTGTTATCTTTTAACAGATGTGTCACCCCAGCCAAACTCCCCACCTAACAATGTCTTTCGCCCGAATTGACTGGTCGAGGTCAGCCTTGGGTCCAAAAGAAGGGGTCATGCCCCGTCTCCGATTCACGGAATAAGTAAAATAATGTTAAAAGTAGTGGTATTTCAATTTCGCCCGGGGGCTCCCACTTATCCTACACCTCTCAAGTTATTTCACAAAGTTGGACTAGAGTCAAGCTCAACAGGGTCT